AATGGGATGTGAGACCCACACTGCTTCCACTGGGAACTGACTGGGAATGGGGTGTCAGACCCACACTGCTCCCACTGGGAACTGACTGGGAATGGGGTGTCAGACCCACACTGCTCCCACTGGGAACTGACTGGGAATGGTCTGTGAGACTCCCACTGCTCCCACTGGGAACTGACTGGGAATGGTCTGTGAGACTCACACTGCTCCCACTGGGAACTGACTGGGAATGGGGTGTCAGACTCCCACTGCTCCCACTGGGAACTGACTGGGAATGGGCTGTGAGACCCACACTGCTCCCACCGGGAACTGACTGGGAATGGGCTGTGAGACCCACACTGCTCCCACTGGGAACTGACTGGGAATGGGGTGTCAGACTCCCACTGCTTCCACTGGGAACTGACTGGGAATGGGGTGTCAGACTCCCACTGCTCCCACTGGGAACTGACAGTGAAAAATAAGAGTGGTTGTTTGACATTTTCTAGATAACAAAAGCAGCATGAGGTTGTCCTTACTGAACGGCCGTGTATATGTACATTCCTGCAATTGTTTATTATGATGTTGTTATTACAAGAGGCGAACATTCTGCAGGTCAGCTGAGCCCACCTGAGCCGTCCTGTTCCTGCAGCTGGCCTCCCGAATCCCTCCCCAGCTGTTTCCGGCGGTCTCCAATCAGCTTTAATATTGAATTTACTTTCTCCTTCTGGATTACACGTGCAGGCGCCACTTCTGCTTCCGCAGTACATTCTAAAATATGAAATCCTGGATTAATTTTCCACAAGGAAACTCGAGTCTTCAGGGATGTCGAACAGGGTTAAACCGTTGAAACGGCTGCAGGCCCAGATTACAGCTAATCCTTGAGCCCTGTCTCTGGGTCCAGGGCAGCTTCCTCAGCCTGAGCCTCTCGCAGCGGCAGGGAGGGTCCAGCCGTGAGCCCAGGCAGCAGCGCAGGGCTGAGAATTGTGTTTCGTTGCTCTGTGCGTGTGCCCTCCGTGTCAGGCTAGTGGGTAGTCAGACCAGTAGGGGGCGCTCACCCCGCGGTCAGTGTGGGCCCTAATGCCCCAGTATAATGACGGGGACATTATACTGTGAAAAGGTGCCCTCCTTCAGATGAGATGTAAAACCGAGGTCCTGACTCTCTGTGGTCATTAAAAATCCCAGGGCGTTTCTCAAAAAGAGTAGGGGTGTAACCCCGGCATCCTGGCCGAATTTTCCCCTGGCCATTACCTCTTAATAACCCCCATCTCAGAACTGGTTTCATCACTCTGTTCTCCTCCCCACTGAGAGCTGGTGTGTGGTGAGCGTTCTGGTGCACTATGGGTGCCGTCACATCATCCAGGTGGGGGCTGCACACTGGTGGCGGTGGAGGGGAGTCCCCATTACCTGTAAAGAGTCCAGAAAAGCACTATATAAGTGTAAGGATTTATTATTATTATTATTACCACCATTACCAGGCCTGATCCCCTGTGCTAAATATGTGCCCACCTTCTACCAGGTGCGTGTCTGCTGTGCCGAGCTCTTGCCCCCTGTGCCAGCCACTCGCTGGTCAGGGTGGGATCAGGGCAGAGCTGTCTGAATCCTGCGGCTGTGCAGTCGTGAGTGGGCTGGCGGGACTGTCACTCTCCGCTACACAGACGAGCTCGGAGCTGCAGGGATGGCAGCGCTATCAATGAGACTTCAAAACCTTGACAATCCTTCACCGTACCACTCAAATTACCTGTCCTTCTGTGTGGGCTGACAGGTATGAAAAATCTGGGGATGATAAAAGCAAACATCTTTCAATTCTTTTTTTTTTGTTCTTTTCATATATTTTCTTATTATTTCCTAATTATAGTGTGCCTTTCCAAACACCTCTCTTTCTACCCTCATATGATATATGATGCAGTGACAACAAGAACACAAGGCAAGCTCACAGAGCTGCGTTCTTGCAGGCAGTAAAGGGGCTGACTGGAGGGCAGGCGAGTCTGTGAAGACATCAAGACTGCAACACTGGGACCCTAGGACCCTTTCTGAGGAGGGGTGGTGTCTCTGCCCCCTGTGGGAGGGGAGTCGGCTGTCTCTGTCCCTGGCAGAGGGGATAGTCCTCTCTCTGTGTG